ACAACTTGTTACTCATGTGTTTCTGATGATGCTGGAGTTAACAAAAAAAAAAAGGCCGGGCGCGGTGGCTCAAGCCTGTAATCACAGCACTTTGGGAGGCCGAGGCGGGTGGATCACGAGGTCAAGAGATCGAGACCATCCTGGTCAACATGGTGAAACCCCGTCTCTACTAAAAATACAAAAAATTAGCTGGGCATGGTGGCGCGTGCCTGTAATCCCAGCTACTCAGGAGGCTGAGGCAGGAGAACTGCTTGAACCCGGGAGGCGGAGGTTGCGGTGAGCCGAGATCGCGCCATTGCACTCCAGCCTGGGTAACAAAAGCGAAACTCCGTCTCAAAAAAAAAAAAAAAAAAAAAAAAAAAAAAGCCTGTGCTGTGAGTTGTATAAAAGTCTAGCACATACAATCATGTATAGTACATATACCTGTTATTGGTAATGATAATAATCAGTTACTGGATTATGTATTTATTATACTATAATGTTAGCATTATTTTAGAGTACATTTCTTCTACTTACATGTAAAAAATGTTTACTGTAAATGGCCTCCGTCAGGTCTTTCAAGAGATATTCCAGAAGAAGGCATGGTTATCATAGGAGATAACAGCTCCATGCATGTTATTACCACTGAGAACTTCCAGTGGGATGAGACGTGGAGGTGGAAGACAGAGACACTGATCATTCTGACCCTGTGTAGGCCTAGGCTAATATGTGTGTTTCTGTCTTAGTTTTTAACAAAAACATTTAAAAAGTTAAAAAAAATGTAATAGAAAAATTTATAGAATAAGAATATAAAGAAAAAGATATTTGTACAGTTGTATAATTTGTATTTTAAGCAAAGTGTTATGAGTCAAAAAGTTTTTTTAAATTTAAAAGTTTATAAAGTAAAAAAGTTACAGTAAGTAAGGTTAATTTATTATTGAAGAAAGAAAAATTTAAAAATAAATGTAATATAGCCTAGGGTATAGCATTTATAAAGTCTACCATAGATAACAGTATACAGTAATGTCCTGGGCCTTCACATTCACTCACCACTCACTCACTAACTCACTCAGAGCAACTTCCTGTCCTGCAAGCTCCATTTATGGTAAGTGCCCTGTACAGATGTGCCATTTATCTTTGACAGAGTGTTTTATTATACCTTTTCTATGGCTAGATATATGTAGATACACAAATATTTACCATTGTGCTACAGTCACCTGCAGTAATCAGTACAGTCACATGCTATACAGGTTTATAACCTAGGAGCAACAGGCTATACCACATAGCTTAAGTATTTAGTAGGCTATACATACCATCTAGGTTTGTGTAAATACACCATGCTCTGTGATGTTCACACAATGACAAAATTGTCTAACAACGCATTTCTCAGAATTGTCCCTGTTGTTAAGCAATGTGTGACTGTACTACTACTATACTGCTAGTGTTTCCCCTTGAGAACAAGTGACTTATGACTGTACACTTGATCTTTCTCTTTGGTTCCTTCTAAAACCTTTGGAATTTCTGGAGGGATGGGAGGTTTTTTTGTACCTGAATTTATGCTAAGGAGGTGAGTCAAGATAGACTTTTACATAGTTTCAAGGGAAGGGCTGGTTATGTCAGGAAGACCTGGTACATGATTAGAGGGTTGAAGCTTTCAGTCCCATTCTTCCATATCTGGGGAGTGTAGAGGGGCTAGAGATTGAGACCAATCACAATGCCTTAATCAATCAATGGTCAGTGATTTACTCATCATGGTTACCTAATGAAACCTTGAAGAAAACTCTAAGGAGGTTCAAAGAACTTCCTGGTTGGTAAACAGACAATAGAAGCAGGGATTGGGGACATGACACACCCCACTCCATGGGACCGAGGCTGCCACCTCCTCTCCCCCAGACCTTGCCCTTTGCATCTCTCCCGTTTGGTTGTTTTTGAGCTGTTTCTTTTATAATAACATGGTACTTGTAAGTATAGCACTTTCCTGAGTTCTGTGAATCATTCTAACAGATTATCAAACCTGGAGGGAAGTTGTGAGAATCCCTGAATTTGTAGCCAAGCCAGTTGGGAAGATGTGTGGGTGACCCCTGGAACTGCATCTGGCATGTGAAGTTGGGGCAGTCTTGTGAGATTGAGTCCTTTAACCTCCAGAATCTGCACTACCTCTGGGTAGTTAGTTTCAGAATTGAATGGAACTGTTGGACATCCCGTTAGTATTTGAGAATTGTGAGAGTGTATAGGAAAAGTACTTCGCATTTGCAAAGTGGGTCATTATCTAAAACATTTGAGACACTGCAGGAAAGTACTCAGTACAGAAACACTAGTCCTTGAATATAGATAGAGGGTAGCAGTTGTGCTACTTTGAGGCATTTCTTCAAATGAGAGATAAAAATGTCCCAGCTACTTGGGAGGCTGCAGCAGGAGAATCGCTTGAACCCAGGAGGTGGAGGTTGCAGTCAGCTAAGATCATGCCACTGCACTCCAGCCTGGCAACAGAGTGAAACTCCATCTCAAAAAAAAAAAAAAAAAAAAAAAAAAAAATTAACATTTTTAGTTGAGTTGTACTAGACTATACAAATGTTTTCTTGGCATACTTTTCAAAAGACACTTTCTCTTCTTAGTAACTTTATCAAAGATAATGAGGCCCATTTACCCAAAATTATTTGAGGGCAAGTCTGTCTGAAGGCTCTCTTTTACCATATGGCAGATATATCTCCATCAGGAGAAAGTTTGCAAGGATCTTGAAACAAGCAGCTGCTGCTATCTGAGTAAGTGTGAATGCTGGTATGAATGTGACACATTATATTTCCTTCCACAGATATTTTTATTACATTGATTCTTTTGAAAGAGTTCATTATTTCCATACTTTCTCTGCACCTTCCTTTGGCCTCCTCCTTTTTTTACCCTCCACTCCAGATAGAAAGAAGGACATTCTTAGAAATTCTCATACACAGTGGCAGAAATACTCAAGACTTAAAAGGAATGAGAAACAGTCTATTATGGAAAAAATTACATCATTTCAAGAAGATGGGAATAAAAGATATTATTCCCTGATGTTTAGGGCAATGAGTAGGGAAAACACAGACCATACTTTTAGATTTGGACAAGAATGAAACTCAAAGTAATTCATGTGGCATGTATAACCTAGATATTTGTAAAATGAGTATAAATAGCTTTTTTTTTTTAGCAGCTGCAAAAATAACAAAGAAATGAGCTAGTCAATGTGTGTGGATATAGGGTCTTCCTTCTGAGGAATAATATCATTTAGAAAATTGTGACTTTGATCTTACTAGGTCAGAATTCCCACATATAACATTAATTTACAAGTTAAATTTGTAATAAAAGATTTATTTCACTCCTAGATGCAACTGGTGAAAGCAGTGTTTTTAGTGTTATTTCAAATGAGAATATTTACTGTACTTCATTGAATTAGTTCATTAAATCATGGTAAAAACTGCATAATTTTTTTTTTCCATTTTAAAAGACTGCAAGTATAGTCTTAGGGTAGGTCTTTATAGACTGCCTTTTGTGGTATAGAAAACATCTAATGTCACCTGCTTAATATTTTTAAATGACAGGAATCTCTGTTCATAACACCTTCAGGAAGCTGTGAACATGAATAACAGTATGCAGGAAATTTTTAGCTGGCTAACTGAATAACACTTTAATTCATCCAAAGTGGTTCCTAGAGACTATAACAATAAGTAGTTCATTCATTTTTAATTGCTAATTTAATTTAAGCTGTAAGACTTTTATTTAGGGGATGACTTCATAGAAGAAAGTATTTGGCAGCAAGAAGAGAATCAAATATGTAACAATCTTCCAGATTCCATGAGGCATAGGCCTTATGACATTATTTATAAGAAACAAGGCCATTCTGTAACTTTAATTTTCAAAATGTAACATATATTACATTCATAATAAAATAAATATGTATCCTTTCTTTTTTGTTTATTTTGTTTTTTTGTTTTTTGTTTGTTTGTTTGTTTTGTTTTGAGACAGAGCCTCATTCTGTTGCCCAGGCTGGAGTGCAGTGGCGGTGCGATCTCGGCTCACTGCAACCTCCGCCCCCAGGTTCAAGTGATGCTCCTGCCTCAGCCTCCCAAGTACCTGGTATTACAGGTAGGCGCCACTACGCCCAGCTAATTTTTTGTATTTTTAGTAGAGACAGGGTTTCACTGTGTTAGCAAGGATGGTCTCAATCTCCTGCCCTTGTGATCCACCTATCTCGGCCTCCCAAAGTGCTGGGATTATAGGCGTGAGCCACTGCGCCCGGCTGTATCTTTCATTTTCTTTTCTTTTCTTTTCTTTTCTTTTTTCTTTTCTTTTTTTTTTTTTTTTTTTGAGACAGAGTTTCGCTCTTGTTACCCAGGCTGGAGTGCAATGGCGCGATCTTGCCTCATGCAACCTCCGCCTCCTGGGTTCAGGCAATTCTCCTGCCTCAGCCTCCTGAGTAGCTGGGATTACAGGCACGTGCCACCATGCCCAGCTAATTTTTTGTATTTTTAGTAGAGACGGGATGTCACCATGTTGACCAGGATGGTCTCGATCTCTTGACCTAGTGATCCACCCGCCTCGGCCTCCCAAAGTGCTGGGATTACAGGTGTGAGCCACCGTGCCCGGCCATCTTTTATTTTCTTAATGGGTTAAACATACTTATACAAAGGGCTGTGTGTTGCAGTTGAAGGAGTATGCTATGGAAGTTTTGGGGTTTGATTCTATGCCCTGCTGTGAAACCATCTAGCTCTGTGATCTCGGTCTTACAAGTTAGTGTAACATTTCTGGATTTCAGTTTCCTATCCTAGGGAACGAACTCAAGAATCCCTAATGCACTTCCCAGCTCCAGATGTCTGTGATTCACTCCATAACCTTCAGAGATGCCTACAACATTAATATGTTTTAATGGTTGTATGAGCACGGGATTGTAGTCACACCAGATGGATCTCCAGTTCTGCTATTTACTTCGTTGTAACCTTTGCAGGAAATTTTTCTGAATTCTAGTTTATTTGACTTTAAAACAGGGTGAATAATAGGAGAGCAGACACCGTTGATGTCCTGCTGCAGAGCCCCTCGCCCCGTTGTGGCTGCAGGGGACAGCTCCATGCCCTGTCATCGGATCAGCGCTGCATCTGTGGTAACCTCCTCCTCTGCCCTTGGGCTTTTTCAGGTGTCACAGGAACTTGTACAGCCCAGAAAAACCAAAGATGTAATGCCCTCAGGTGAAACCCTCCACCAGTAAAAGACAGAAATTTTCTTTTGACAAAAATTCAGAAATTCTTTCTGAATTGTCCCTCAATGGGACAATTCAGAGGCACAGTTCACATAGTTCCTCAGCGGGTCCTCAGCAGGATTGAGGCCCAGATGTACACAGTAGTAATCTGCTCATTACTACTCAGTGTTGGTGAATTAATTTCTCCCTCCCCTGTCTCACATTTCCCACTACATCACGGTGCTTCCTGGGATCACCTCCCAAATAAACTACTTGTATACAATTTCTTTCTTGGGTTTTGCCTTTCGGAAACCCCATTTGACAATTGCTATGATGATTAATTGAGAACATAAAGCACTTACTAGGTCCTATAATAAGGCCCCAACAAAATATGATTATTGTTTCTGACAAATGAAACAATTTCGTGGTTCTAAGCAATGTTTAGGTTGTGTTTCTATAGTTAAGTGATGCTTGCATCCTGCTAAAGCATATTCCATAATGTTTTCAGGTATATCAGATGCAAAGAAAATTTTGTAAGTGAGGAAACTTTAGGTATGATTAAAATTTTGTGTTTTATTTTGAAGTTTCTCCCTTCTTCTTTTTATTGTTTCATACTGAAGTCATAATTCTATCTGAAACATTAATTGAGTGCTATTTATGGAAGAAATAAGTAGAAGAGTATTAGTAATATATAAGATTCAACCTGTGCTGGGCACAGTGGCACACACCTGCAGTCCCAGCACTTTGGGAGGCTGAGGCAGGTGGATCATTGGAGGTCAGGAGCTCAAGAACAGCCTGGACAACATGGTGAAACCCCATTTCTACTAAGAATTACGAAAAAAATCAGCCAGTCGTGGTGGCACATGCCTGTAATCCCAGCTACTCGGGTGGCTAAGGTATGAGAATCATTTGACCTGGGAGGCAGAGGTTGCAGTGAGCCAAGATCAGGCCAGTGTACTCTAGCCCAATGAGTGAGATTCTGTCAAAAAGAAAAAGAAAAAGAAAACAAAGACAACTTGTGTATCATTGACTACTGCTCAGTGATTCTACAATTGCTCAGTCATGAATGGGTCATTTATTTGAGATTATCTAACATGATAATTCTAAAAGGAGAATATTATATAGTTTGTATTTTCTTCAGTGTCGGGATTGAATTACTTTAATCATTTCTTAATCTATATCTTTTCTAGGCAAATGCATTTAAAAATTATGTTGTTGTTTGGTAATATGTCACTACTTGTTTAAAATGCATTCTTGGCTTGTAAGAAATTCCATGTGTAAGCACATACTTATCTGAAAGATCTTTGAAAATGATGAAACGGAGCAGAATGAATCTTGCAGCAAGCAGTGGTGGGTATGTCAATACTATCCCTTCTTAACTGCACATGCTAACAGAAAAGACCACGCTAGCATTTTGTTATTTATGGACATGGCCTTCACTCCTCATCTTGCTCCCAAGCCAGAAAAGCATCTCCTGATGGTGCTAGGTACATGCAAAAGGAATTATTTTTCTTGAAGAAAGTGTGGTGACCTTGGAACTCCAATATATTGGTGGTGGAACAAAATATTGTTGTTTCTTTCTGGAAACTCTGGAAATGTGTCAAGAGTGTTAAAATATTTCTACCTTTGATTCAGTAATATCACTTTCAGGAAACTTTTAAAAAAATGATTAGAATGGCCAGGCTCAGTGGCTCATGCCTATAATCTCAGCATTTTTGGAGGCCAAGGTGGGTGGATCTCTTGAGGTCAGGAGTTTGAGAGCAGCCTGGCCAACATGGTGAAACCCCATCTCCACTAAAAATACACAAAAATTAGTCAGGCCTGGTAGCACGTGCCTGTTGTCCCAGCCACTCAGGAGGCTGAAGCAAATGAATCACTGGAGACTCAGTAGGTGGAGGCTGCAATGAGCCGAGATCACACCACTAAACTCCAACCTGGGTGACAGAGCAGGATTCTGTCTCAAAAAAAAAAAAAAAAAAAAAAAAGAAAGAAAGAAAGAAAGAAAAGAAAAGAAATTTAGACGTATATGTGTAAAAATGTTTATTGTGTTATTTGTAATAGCAGGTGGGAAGAATGAAAAGGGGGAAAGAAGAAAGAAAAGAGGAAAGGAAGGGGGAGAGGGAGGAAGGAGAGAGAAAAAAGAAGAAAAATGAAAAATAAAATTAGAGTCAATGTAATATTAAGTAACTAGGTAATAATAATTCATTAAGTTTTGATGCCCTTATATGATGGGCAATTTTGCAGCCATGAAGATAATTTTATTTATCTAGAGTTACAGTTGACATTTTTCATGCATAAAAATGTCTATTGCTCAAGAAAAAAGTTAAATACTCCCTATGGAAACAATAGGCAAATAATATCAACAAGAAATTTACAAAGAAAGAGAAAAAAAAATGGCCAGTAAGCATTTTAAAAGTTTAATCACGCCCAGGTGCGGTGGCTCACGCCCGTAATCCCTGCACTTTGGAAGGCCAAGGTGGGCGGATGATGAGGTCAGGAGTACAAGACCAGCCTGGCCAACATACTGAAACCCCACCTCTACTAAAAATACAAAAATTAGCTGGGCATTGTGGCACATGCCTGTGGTCCCAGCTTCTCAGGAGGCTGAGGCAGGAGAATCGCTTGTACCTGGGAGGCGGAGGTTGAAGTGAGCCGAGATTGCGCCACTGCACTCCAGCCTGGGTGATAGAGCAAGACGCTGTCTCAAAAAAATAAATAATAATAAAAATTATCACTAACTGTCAAATAAATTTAAAATTTAAAAATTATAAACTATTATTTTTTACTGTGAAATGGCAAAGATTTTTAAAAATTATATCCAGTGGGCCGAGCGCGGTGGCTCACGCCTGTAATCCCAGCACTTTGGGAGGCCAAGACGGGTGGATCACGAGGTCAAGAGATTGAGACCATCCTGGTCAATATGGTGAAACCCCGTCTCTACTAAAAATACAAAAAATTAGCTGGGCATGGTGGCACATGCCTGTAATCCCAGCTACTCAGGAGGCTGAGGCAGGAGAATTGCCTGAACCCAGGAGGCGGAGGTTGCGGTGAGCTGAGATCGCGCCATTGCACTCCAGCCTGGGTAACAAGACCGAAACTCTGTCTCAAAAAAAAAAAAAAAAAATTCCAGTGCTGCCAAGAGGGCAGAGGCCTTTCTGTAAAACAGCAATATGTATCAAAAGCTTTAAAATGTGCATATGTTCCTATGTAATGTATTGGTTTGAAAAAAAATAAATCATAGGCTAATTAAAATTTCTTGGCTGGGCACAGTGGCTCATGCCTGTAATCCCAATGCTTTGCCTAACCAAGCTGCACTTGGGGAGGTAGAGATGGAAGGATTGTTTGAGGCCAGGAGTTTGGGGCCAGCCTAGTAACATAGCAAGACCTCATTCTCTATTAAATAAATAAATAAATAAATAGCACATCCTGTGTTCCTAGCTACTCAGGAGACTGAGGCAGGAGGATCTCTTGAGTCCAGAAGTTTGAGGTTGGAGTGAGCTATGATCATGCTAGTGGATACTCCAGCCTGGGCAATAGAGTAAGACCCTATCTCTTAGAATAAATTCTGAAAATTTTCTATGAAGCAATGTTTCTATCCTAAGCTAGATATTGAAGGATAAAAGGTAAATGTGGTGCATATTGCTATGTGAAAGAAGCCAGTTTTAAAGGTTTCATAATGTATAATTCCATTTCTATGACATCCTGGAGAATGCAACACTACAGAATCTGTAAGAAGATCAGTGATTGCAAGGGGCTTAGGGAGGATTGAATAGTAATATGGGGGATTTTTTTAGGATCATAAAACTGCTCTGTATATACCATAATGGATAATATAAGTAATGGATTATGGCATGATACATTTGTCAAAACTCATAGAACTTTAGACCACAAAGAGTCAACTTCAATGTATGCAAATTCAAAATAAAGTAGGGAGTTGGGGATCACGGGATGGAATACAGACTATGACAAAAGAATCTACTATCTTACAATTATATGAAATAACTTCACTGAAAGGGATGGGAGGAAAGGGTGCTAAGCTAAGTAACTTTGGAAATGAATGTGGTCTGTGCATTAAAGGCAAAAAACCTGTACATAATGAAGAGTATATAGATACTGTGCCCTAACTGATAAAGTCGTTTCTCATTGGGTATATGTTAACAATTCTGAAACTACTATACATGCATACTAAAACTGAAGAATTAAGAAAATGAATGGTGGATAGTGAGAGCCAGGTTTCTCACTATTGGACTCAGAGGTTACAGACAGGAAGGCTAGATTGATCTATGTGGTAATGGATTTGAGCTGGGAACATCAGTGTGAACTTACAGATACAAATGCTAATAGAGCCATCCCTGGATATCCAGAGGGGATTGGTTCCTGAACCCCTGCCCCATCCCAAGGATATGAAAATTCACAGATGCTCAAGTCCCTGATATAAAATGGCATAGTATTTGCATATAACTCATGCACATCCTTCTGTATACTTTAAGTCATCCCGAATTACTTATAATACATAACACAATGTAAATGCTATGTAAATAATTGTCATACTGTATTGTTTAGGGAATAACGACGAGAAAAATGTCTACATGTTCTGCACAGACACATAATTCTTTTTATTCTTTCTGAACATTTTCTTTGTCTTTCTTTCTCTCTTTCTTCTTTCTTTCTCTCTCTCTCTTTCTTTTTCTGTTTGTTTTGAGATAGGATATCACTCTGTTGACTAGGCTGGGGTGCAGTGGCATGATTATGGCTCACTGCAGCCTCAACTGTTTGGGTTCAAGCAATTCCCTCACCTCAACCTTCCAAGTACCTAGAATGACAGACATGTACCACTGTACCCAGCTAATTAAAAAAAAAAGTGTTTGTAGAGAAGAGGTCATGCTGTATTGCCCAGGCTGGCCTCAAACTCGAGCTCAAGGGATCCTTCTGCCTCTGCCTTCCAAAGTGCTGGGATTACAGGCATGAGTCACTGTGCTCAACTTCCTTTTGAATATTTTTGATCCGTGCTTGGTTGAATCAACACATGTGGAACCCACAGATATGAAAGGTTGATGTATGTAGAAATATTTATAGATAAATGCTTATACGCAGGTTGGTATACACATATATTTTCTTCCTCTGACAACTGAGAAGGCCTAGAAGGCCTCAACCACATCCCTGTAGCAATGAGCACACTTAGTGCCCAGATCTTGGTTTCTAATACCAATCTTCAATAAAAGTAACTAGAGAGCCTGAGAGAAATGGCAGGACTGAGACAGGGGATGTACAGAATAAACCTGGAGCATTTTGCGGTGCTAGAAAGTAATCAAGTGCTTAAAACAAGTGAACAAGCAAACCCACAGTGATGGGGGTATGTCAAAGGGATGACAGCACCAACTGAAAGAGCTTCCAAGGGCCAAAGGTGGAACAATTTGAGCAACAAAATAAGTAAAGTGGTATTGGATCATAGCCCAAAGCAGAAAATAAATATCTATGAGTCTATACTGATATAAATAAATGATTGAACAGTTCTTAATAAATAAGTGGGAAGAATGGACAAATCTCCCATGATTCAGGAGAATACCAGTTAATTTTTACATATGCTCCACTTTCAAAAAGGTGGAGCACAATTCCCATTCATTTAGTGTGGGCTGCTCGTTGTGACTTCTTCCAGGGAGCACTGTATGGAAATGAGTAAACTTTACAGGGGAGAAACCTGACACACATTAGTTGAGCCAGGTCATCAAAGTTAACATCCACAGTGATGAGTCATGTTGATAGCATATACCCTGGATATGATGTGGTGACAATGTCACATTGCCTCTGTGATCTTCCTACCACACACCCATAAACTTAGTCTAATTATGAGGAAACATCAGACAAATCCAAAGTGAGACACATTCACGAAATACCTGACCAGTACTCTTCAAAGCTCTCAAGGGCATCAAAAGCAAAGAAAACCTGAGAAGCTGTCTCGGCCAGGAGGGGCCCAAGGAGGCATGACAACTAAACATTACAGGCTCCCCTGTATATGGCATCCTAGAAATGGAAAAGGACATTAGGCTAAAAATGAAGGAAATCTCAATAGTTATTGGTTAATAATAATATATCAACATTGGTTCATTAATTGTAATAAATGTACCATACTAACTTAAATGTTAATAATAGGGAAAATGGAGTATAGGTTATATGAAAACTGTACATACCATCTTTAAAACTTTTCTGTAAATCTAAATTTTTTTTTTTTTTTTGAGACGGAGTTTCGCTCTTGTTACCCAGGCTGGAGTGCAATGGCGCGATCTCGGCTCACCGCAACCTCCGCCTCCTGGGTTCAGGCAATTCTCCTGCCTCAGCCTCCTGAGTATCTGGGATTACAGGCACGTACCACCATGCCCAGCTAACTTTTTGTATTTTTAGTAGAGACAGGGTTTCACCATGTTGACCAGGATGGTCTCGATCTCTCGACTTCGTGATCCACCCGCCTCGGCCTCCCAAAGTGCTGGGATTACAGGCTTGAGCCACCGCGCCCAGCCAAATCTAAAATTTTTAAGTATAAAAAGTTATTTAAAATGATAGTCAATTTTAGGACAGGCACAGTGGCTCACGCCTGTAATCAAAGCACTTTGGGAGGCTGAGCTGGGTGGATCACCTGAGGTCAGGGGTTCAAGACCAACCTGGCCAACATGGTAAAACCCTGTTTCTACTAAAAATAGAAAAACCAGCCAGGTGTGGTGGCACACGCCTGTAATACCAACTACTAGGGAGGCTGAGACAGGAGAATCGCTTGAACCTGGGAGACAGAGGTTGCAGTGAGCTGAGATCCTACCACTGTACTCCAGCCTGGGAGACAGAGTGAGACTCCATTTCAAAGAAAAAAAAAAAAAAAGATAGTCAATTTTTAAAAAGCTTTGAAAGAGAAAAAAATATAAAAAGGACCTGTGGCTTATAGAAAACAGATATCTGCAGTATAAATCCCCTTCAAAGTAGAACTTACTACCCACTTGCTGGGAGTGCAGTGAGCACAGTCTCAGCTGTCAGCTTTTACAATGTCTGCCTCAACTGTAGAGAGATGCCCCTCACCAAGTCACAGCTTTCAGAAGTAGCCCACATCCAGTGACTGAGCCAAGGTGCAATGATGTGGCCATTTCTGCTACAAGGGGACAACTGATGGGCAATATTTGCTCCCATTGGGTTGGTTCAAGCTTTATTGGGTCTGCATCATGGTTCATGTTTTCTCTCTGCCCAGCCCTTCCTTTCACAGGTTTGATGCCTAATATTTTGTACCCCAAACTCCATTTTTGCATTAGCTTCTAGAGAACCCGACCTGCAACTTGGCTTGTTAGAGAGCTCTCCTGCTATCCACTGGACTCTAAAACATGAAAGCTAGGGGGAGAAAAGGAAGAAGAGAATATGGCTCTTGCACGGCAATGAAAGAAGGAGTTCTAAGGATGGCAGATGAAGGTAGTTATAAATGAATGGATGGCAGGGAAGCTATCCTTTGTGAAATACCAAGTGGAGAGTTCTCTGAACTACCATCCTGGACTGGCTTGCTCAGGGTTTTGATTCACTGTAGCATTAACATAGAACCTTGGCAGCTGGAAATTTGAGCTATCTGTTTATTTTAGCTGCTAGTCTTTTACCCAGGTGGGGATCCTATCCTCCACATCTTCTCCATGGAACCATATAGCAGGTAACTGATTCTGGGCCCCCTGTTTTAACAGAAGACTTTTACTTAGTTTTAAAGATAATTTCCCTCCGAGCCTTATCTGAGCCCAACTTATGCTTTAATATTGAAACATTTACCAAATGTCTTCTCTGTCATCATTTAAATCAGCTTACAGACAATTTACAACCTTATTTTATATACATATTCTATTAAGTTGGTACAAAATTAATGGCATAACCACAATTACTTTTGCACCAACCTAATAATACAACTAGCATCCTGATAGTACTCACGATGGCTTTTGCCTATTGCAGTGGGCTGAATGCTAGTGACCTCTCCCTCTCAAATTCATATATTTAAATGCTAATTTCAATGTGATGATATTTCGAGGTGAGGCCTTTGGGGCATGATTAGGTCACGAGATTGGAGCCCTTATAAGAGGCCAGAGAGCTAGCTATCCCTCTTTCAGCCATGGGAACATACATGGAGAAGTTGGCAGTCTACAGCCTGGAAGAGGACCCTTACCAGAGCCCAACCATACTGGTACCTTGATCTCAAACTTCCAGCCTCTGGAACTGTGACAAATAAATTTCTGTTGTCTATAAGCCACCAGTTTATGGTATTTTGTTATGGTAGCCTGAGCTAAGACTCTTATCCCTTTTGGAAATTAAGTATGCTTGTGCCTTGGGATTTTGGTGGGATCAGTCAAGGTGCACACACACACTCACTAGCCAGAAGGTGGGTACACAATCCAAGCCAGGCCAACCAGGCTTTGCCACAGAGGGTCAGTAAGCTGGGAAATAAAGCTGACTCCTGCTTTTGGTAATACCTGAAGGGGTGGTTCTTCTGTCTGTGGCCTGATTGTTCAGCTCTTCCTATGTAAGCTTCTCAGATACCTGTAATGAATATCTTTTTTACTGGCTTTAGCCAGTATCTATGTCTGTCACTTAACTCCAAAACAAAACAATAACAATAAAAAGACCCTAATAGATACATTTCTACTTTATAATCTTCACACATAGCAATTCACACACATAGAAAGAATTTCTATAACACTCCCAAAATGTAGAGGGAATTATTATGAAGTACTGAGGAAACTTAGGGGGAAGGAGCCAAAAAATGAAGATTTATCTCTAATTCCTGTGACATCCACCAATCCCATTTCCAGGAATTTATTCTAAGGAAATAAACAAGCAGTGAAAGATGTATGTGCTAGGTCATTGGCCACAGAGTTATTTATAAAAATAAAATGTAGAAATAATCTAGATATTATGGGTAGTAACAGTCATTAAAAATGTAATGAAGGCTTGTATGCATTAATACAGAAAGATGTTCTGATATATTTTTAAGTAAACAGGTAATCATAAAACAACCTACCACTTTTGTTTTTTCAAATACATCTCTATATATATAAGTACACATACAAAAAATCTAGAAGTGAATATACAAAAATATTGGTAGTTGCTATCTGAATGGTGAGTTTATGAGTGATTTTTATTTTTCTCATTATATTTCTCAGACATTTCCAAATTCTTTGCAAAGAGGTCTTTGTAATCAGAAATAATCAATGAATCAAGTAATGTTCTTGAAGGATTTTCAATAATGTAAAAATGTTAAGTTGTAAAAAAGGATAAAGTTCTATTTTTAGCACTATCTTAATTACATAAAAATATTCAGTGTTTTGTGTGAGAAGAAAATACACCAGTATATTAATGTGTTTTTCTCTGAGATTGGCTTATGAAAGACTCTAAGATTTGTATAAATAAACTGTGCCTATATTATATATGATTTATCTAAATATTAAATTAAAAGAAATAATATTTAAATCCAGATACCAATGTGGACCCTGTTATTGCATAGGACCAAAGAATGAATTGATAATACATTTAAATTCAACCCCTTTCTATTAGGAAATTTCATCTGATTGAGGAGGATGACAATGAGAAGAATCAGAGAGAAAGGTGATCAGATCCAGTTTGGGATCCAATTTGGGGTTAACCCTAAAAAGGATTGGTGAAATTGGCCTCTTTTTTTCTACCCAGCTCTCCTGCTAGGGCCAATCTGATTCATGTCCAGTTATCCTTCTAGCTCCCTTAATTATTATTATCATGGATTTGCTCCTACTGAAACTAGAATATCATGGGACAACAGTAGCCACGTCAAACCTTTATAAGGGTGTCAACCCTTCCATTTTTCTAAGTTAACTTATTGGGTAGAAATAACTGTTTACTGAATGTCTATCATATGCACAACCTTGTAAGAAAAATGAAAAATTATAAAATATGGTTAGGGAAAAGAACTAAATAATAGTTTACAGTGACATAACAATTCGAAGTCATTCCAGGATAGTACCCTCCACACCAGAGGCAGGATGACAGTAGCAAGTGTATGGGTTTAAGATTCAGATCAGCCTCTACCACTGCTTTGTTGATGTGTGATTTTGACATGTGTTACAGACCCAATGAGCATCAGTTTTCTCATATGTAAAATGGAGATAATAATAACTATCTGTGATGGCCAGCTTCCATGATAGTTTCTACTGATCTTGCCTTCTGGTATTCACACACCCCACCCCAGTCACCTCCTGCATTGAATAGCGCTAATATGATAACCAATAGGATATTGTAGAAATGATACAGTATGATTTTCTAGGGTGAGCTCATGAAAGATCTTGTGTTTTCTACCTTACTCTTTGCTGTGTCTTGGATCACTTGTTTTGGGAAAGTCAGCTGCCATGTCATAAGGACACTCACTTAGCCTTCTGGTGAAAACTGCATGGCGAACAACTGGAATCTGTCACCAACATCCAGTGCCAACTTGCCATGAATGTGAGTGAGCCATCTTGGAATCAGAGCTTTAGCCCCTTCCACACTTTCAGATGACTGCAGCCTTAGCCAGCATCATGACTGCCATGCCATCAACCCTGAGCCAGAACCACCTAGGTAAGCCACTTCTGATTTCCTGACCCACAGAAACTGAGATAATCACTGGTTATTGTTTTAAGCCACTACAATTTGGGGGTAATTTGTCATGTATCAATAGCTAACGAATACTCTACATTATGATATATTAGTGTTTTTTATTTCCTTTATCTGCTGCTCCAACATCAGACAATTGAGAGGGTAGGGTATGGGACAGCATCTTTGGGAAAGAGGAGGGATGCTGAGAGTTAGAGACAGAGGTGCAGTTTGTATACGATGCGGCATAAGGGTATCCCTGGTGGGAAGATTTAGTTTTCTCTGGAAGCAGGAAGCATGAAATAGCAAATAGAGGAAATGACAGGTAATAGAGAGAAAAAAACAGGATTAGACAGCATGAATGTATAGCAATCTGACCTGCAGCGTTCCTGTCTTTCTCCATCCATTCTCTGCAATCTAGAGGTAAAAAGGATTAAAATAAACTGCAATTGGGGAAAGACCAAGGGAAAAGTTCAGTGGCCAAGAGCACTGGCAGGGAGGACTGCTGCCCATGGTTGTAACGTGAATTTCTTCTACCTGAACACAATGATAGTGATTTATATTGTGAAATTACCAATATTTGGTATAAAAATGGCAATTTCATATAGTTCAACCCGTATTCATTTTAAAGAGTAAATCTACATCTTCCTGAAGGAGTTTGTGATGTTTGAGATCACTGATGAGAAAGAAGCAAGTTTCTTAAGAAAGCATATCTTGAGAAAAACCCCTACAGATTAAAGGGGATTTTTCTTAAATAGTCTCTATTTTCCCAATACGTGGAACATGAAACTCTTGTGTTTTTTTTGAGACGGAGTCTCTCACTGTCACCCGACTAGAGTACAGTGGTGTGATCTTGGCTCACTACAACCTCCACCTCCGGGGTTCAAGTGATTCCCCTGCCTCAGCCTCCTGAGCAGCTGGGACTACAGGCGCGTGCCACCATGCCCGGCTAATTTTTATGTTTTAGTAGAGATGGGTTTTCACCATGTTGGCCAGTATGGTCTCTATTACCTGACCTTGTGATCTGCCTGCCGCAGCGTCCCAAAGTGCTGGGATTCCAGGCATGAGCCACCGCGCTTGGCCCACATAAATTCTTAAAATCTTTTGAAAATAGGTATACATGCACATAATTTAAAAAGGAAGATACAGAAACATAAAAGGAGAAAAGCAAGTCTCCATCTGCACTAATTGTTTTCAGCAGCAAGTAACAGAAACCTGACACCTGACTGGTAGGGAAATGTATTCATTCGCTTACCAGAGATGAGAGATCAGGTTCAGAGTTAGTCAATTTAGCAGCTTCACAGTATTATCAAGAACACAGATTCTTCCTGTGTTTCTACTCTGCTCTCTACCGCCTGGGCTTCAGCCTAAGGCTAATTTATTTCATAGTTGTAAAATGGAAACAGCTGGGCTTCATCCTTCCTTATTTGTGTCCAACAGGAGAGACAAAAATTAACTTTCTGTGAATTTCTCCTTAGAGTGAGAAAGCAAATTCTAGAAGCATCCAGCAAACCTCTCCTCTGCTTTCCTCTCATTTCACTGGACAGAATTGGGTCGCATATCTATCCGTTCTTTAACAAATCACTGTCAGGGGAAAGGAATCATACTTGTAACAACCAGAGCCATCCCGGGATAAAAAGTCCATTTTCCAAATGCATTTGTGTAAAATGGTTGTGGTTGAGACACTCACAATGTTCATCACCTTGACCCACACTGTCCCACGTGCTCCTTCACAAAGGCAAACGCTATTCCCAATCTCCTGTGCATCCTTCTGAAGATGCATGTTCATTTAGATGACTTTGTCTTTCTCTCCCCTATTTACAGAAGTGGTAGTGCAGCATACATGTTGTCTTACACATTGCCTTTTTTCCCCATAGGACACTATTAGTAAATGTTTAATGAATAAATGCTAAATTCAGAAACATATATTTTGTAAGCCAGATGGCTTTTATCCTAATTATGCATTTTCTTGTTTGCCTTTTGTACTCCTAGCAGAGCATTAAGGTTTTTTGTTTGTTTGTTTGTTTTTTAAGTTCCAGCAATTTCAGTTTTGCTAACGGGAAAATAAGGAAGAGTCTTTCTATGGACCAAGGCCAGAGCATTAAAGGAGATCAGCAGACCTTGGGTGCCAATATAGTAGTGGTAGCAGACAGAATAGAATCCTAGGGGTAGGTAAAATAATAAAACACCACCACCACCAACAGTGCCTCCTATGTACCAGATTGGGCTAAACACATATTCAGTAAGAACAAAGTTGGGTCTCCTTGGTCAGCTGTCTTTTCACAACTAAATTCTCCTTCAAATGCTAGACTTTATGATTTTTAGTGTTTTAACAATGGAGGTAATTCTCTTAGACTTTGTGAGTGAAATGCCAAGAGCTACATTAAGAAAGAAAAGAGTGCTAAGGAGGCAACATAGCATGTTGATGAGAAATGTGGGTGGTGGACTGTAGCAAACTTATGCTTGAATCCTAGCTCTACCACTTGTTAATATCACAGTGCTAATTAGACATTGGATAATGTGGATAATTTTGTTTTGTTTTTTGTAGAATTGGGTCCTTGCTATGTTGTCCAGGCTGGTCTCAAATACCTGGCCTCAAGCCATCCTCCTGCCTGGACCTCCCAAAGTGGGTAATACTCTTGTTGTCTCTGTGCTTCAGTCTCATCATAAAACGGAGAAATATCAGAGGATTGTTGTGATGATTAAATGAGAGTTGCATACAAAATACTTTGCATGGCGCCTGACACAGAATAAGCATTCAACAAATCCAAGCAAAAGTTTGATAGCATGTGATAACTTCTAAAGAAAGAGGTCCACTCTTGCAGGTTTTGATATAACAAAAACAATATTGGTAGAGCAATTTAAGATTTTTTTTATTGATTTATAGGTTGTATACAATACATACCCATTTTAAGTGTACAAATGAATTTTGACAAATTCATTCACTCATATAATCATCACTATAACCATAATACAGAACATTTTTATCACTCCAAAAGTCCCTCTTGTGCTCTTTTCAAGTCAGTCTCCTTATCTGACACCACAAGGCACCACTGTTTTGCTTTCTATAACTATGGTTTTGTGTTTTTAGAATTTCATGTAAGTTGAATCATACCATTTATAATTTGGGGGTCTGACTTCTTTCACTACAATAATGTATTTGAGATTTAACTACATTTTTTGGCTATGAAAATGTACCGATCTTACATATATTTTGATAAACTTATCTTTATTTTCATGGTTTATTTTATAGGAAAGTAGTCCTCAATTATGTAAACAAAGGTACCACAATTTCTGTATCCATTAACCTGTTGCTGAACTCTTGGGTCATTTCATTTTTTGACTACTATGCATTAAGCTGCTATGAATATTTTTTGTGGATTCATTATTTCTGTGGTATAATTCTTTTTTAGTGTAATTGTAGAGTCATATGGTAAATATATGTTTAACTGTATAAGAAACTGCCAATCTGTTTTCCAAGGTGCTTGTACATTTTACATTTCCACCAGCTGCAATGGTTTGGATGTGGTTTGTCCCCACCGAAATGTATGCTGATCACATAGTTATATCGTGATGAAACCAAGGGTATGATGGAAAGTCTCTTCAGGAGCCTCTTATTAGAAATTAATTTTTTGGGGCACGAGATCTTGCTATGTTGCCCAGGTTGGAGTGCAGTGGCTGTTCACAGGCTCAGTCGTTAACACACTACAGCCTTAAACTCCTGGCTTCAAGTGATCTTCCCGTCTCAGCCTCTTGAGTAGCTGGGACTATACCATGCCATTACAGCCAACAAGGTTTTTTTTAAAAAAATTTTTAATTTTTGAAATGGAGTCAGGCTTTGTAACCCAGGTTGAAGTGTAGTGGTGTGATCTCAGCTCACTGCAACTTCCACCTTGTGGGTTCAAGTGATTCTTCTGCCTTGGCCTCCTGAGCAGTTGGGATTACAGGCATGCGCCAGACATCCCACTAATTTTTGTACTTTTAGTAGAAATGGGGTTTCACCATGTTGTCCAGGCTGATCTCGAACTCCTGACCTCAGGTGATCCGCCCACCTTGGCTTTCCAAAGTGCTGAGATTATAGGGCGTGAACCCCCACACCCAGCCTGGAACCTCTTTTTAAAGAGGCATTTACTTTTTACTCAATTGGAACATTCATTGGAAGAGCTCTCCAAATAAATTGGCGTTCAATTAAAAAGGGAATAGACCCTGCATTACTTTTTCAATCTCAAAAGTTTCTCAGTTTGGACATAAATTATAGGTCATTCTAATAATAATAATAATACAGTGTTTTCTCAGTTAACTCTCAAAACAATTCTGTGAAGGAACGAGATGTTACATCCCTATTAGATAATATGAGTAGAGTTTAATAAAAAGACTATTTGCAAAGGTGTGTGCAAAATGAAGGGAAACCATAGAGGTTTACCCTGGGTCACCCTAGGGAAGGATACTGGCTGCATCCTTTGGTTGAGGGAGGCAGCCAGCCTGCCATGGTGCCATAGTAAGGCAGGGGATAAAGAACAGTACTCTGTCCTCTGTTCCATCGCTGTTGCTTCCCATTGCCTTAACTCAACTGGAAGCTAGTGGGAAAGAAAGTCCATTGAATCAGGGCTCCAAAGGACAGACAACAGGATGGAGAGTGGATCTGCCTAACAGAACGTGTCCTCCACCAGGACTCACTGTTACTACCTGTTTTACAATAGAAAAAAAAAAATGAGATGAAAAAAGTTTAATTTACTGAATACAACAGAGCTAAGAAGTGATCATCTGTAGCTGAAGTGCCAGGTTCTTCTCCCCATTCTACCGCTCTCTCTCTAAGGCCCCTACATTCTAGCAATGCCAGAACACCCGCCCTCCCCATAGCTTCCTCACATCCCAAATGAGATGATGGAATATGTAACATTAAGTTTTGCTGATTAGAATAAACTAACCTACCCACCAAGGTAGGGCATTCATATTCTTATAATCTAAGCAGATGAGTTTACAGCATGCACATTCACAAAATAAGTAAAAAATAAAAATTTAATAAATTCTACAGTCTGTTC